TAAAGCATTTGCCCCACACTGGAATTAGTCTGGAAAGCTACAAACAATTAAACATTATATAAGGCTTTGGGCTCCTCCTCCTATCAAGGATGGAATCTCGGGTCTTAACAGACAATCTTAGTGAGACGGACTGAAAAGGTAAAACAGGACAATCTTAGCGGGATGGAGGGAGTACCATTGTCACGTAATTTTTATAAGATGAAAGATGTTCTTAATTATATTGAACTTTTTATTTTGGTCTATTCAAATTGGATACGCTATAGTATTGTCCGAGATGATTGTTGTATGTGTGTATATTACACGTGTTGAAATCTAATCTGATTTGGCTTGCTCTCATTAGATTTGATATGTTAAATTTTATTTGATCTTGATTTGTGACTCAAACCACACTAATTAAAAGCACCCCAAGAAAGAAATAATACAAAGACCCTTCTGCACCGGGAGATGAGATGGTTATTTGGAAGAACTTTTAAAATGTGAATAGAGACTATTTGTTTAATATATATGTGAATATATATTTTGTGTGAATTAGGTAACACAATTTTATTTTTTAACAAGTGAATAATCTAAATAAAGGTTGGAAAGAGTTGAGAATGGAGAATATGAAAGTCCGATGTCTATTTAATACTGAGTGTATTTTAAACCGGTGAAATCTAATTGATTTGATCAAGTCTGTTTAATTTTAGTTTCATATGGACTAAAATCAATCCAATTTAAAAACTTCTTAACTCATTGACAGATTTATTAGCGATGTGCATTTTGTGAGTTAGTTCAATCTTTTGATATTGTAATAGAAATAAATATTGAACTATTTAATTACATCTAAAAAATATTTATATGGATGTGTCCCCGAAAAGACTATTTTGTTGTGATTTCTAATACAGAATAAATTATAAGGAGTAATATGTTTTATATACTAAAAATTAACATTCTTGAAGTGAGACATGATTGAAATTCATGACCTCCTCGTTGGGGCATCACAATGATGTCATCAGACCCTAACACATTTAAAAAAATGAAAAATATTCAAAAACTTCTAATTACTTAATTTATTAAACAAATAAGCATGTCTGGCCATTACTTTTTATTAGTATCATATTATACACATTGTAATGGGAAGTTGATGAATATTTTTTGGTAAAATATGAGACTACATAATTGACAAGTGCCAACGTTGTTGGTTGAATCTTCCAAAAAGAGATACAAACATGAAAAACATCAACCACTTTCCCGTTTTGATGATATGATTAATGATGTTTGAAAGGTCAAATGTCATCACAGTGCCACATTTACTTATGTTTTTATTACGGAGTATTTATTATAAATTCAAATTTTTAATTCTTAATTTCCTTGAGAATCATAAGTATTATAGACTTCTTCTTGTTCACTCCCCAGCAAAGAGCCAGCAATAAACCCTCCTTTTCTCTCGCTCCACCCCGGTTTTCTCTCTCTACTACAACTGCTTTGTATCAGCACATTCAATCCATAAAATTCGCCTCCACATTTCGGGATCTGGGTCGTCTTTATTACGAAGTATTCTCTATTTACCCGAACAAGTCATAATTTGCTTATTCTTCTTTCTTTTTCTGAATCTTGACAAGCCACCCAGTCCTGCGTTTCTAGGATTGTGAGCCATTAAGACTTCGATTTAGACATGGCCTTCTCACTAATCTGATCTTGCAGACGAATTAGTCGTGTATGAATAACGCATACCCATACTGCATTTTTTGTGGCGTGTATTAAGAGTCTTTTAATCACTTGGAATCCTCAAATGATTGAGTTTGATGACAAGACGACAGTAAAGTTCTGATCTTTTTACTCAGGTATTGTCATCTGAACTTTGTTTTCTGTGGGATTTTAGGAATAGTAATGATAATTATTGCTTTTTTATTTTTTGGCTTGTAATGCTATTTGAATCTAGCATCTTTGTTCTCTTTTTCTTTTTTAAAGGTTGCTCTCTTTCTTCCTCTTCTTCTTCTTCATCATGTTTTATTAGTATTAGAGATTTGATTTGCTATTGGGCGTATATTTTGGATCATTTTATTTAAGGAGTGTATTATTTATTTCATGGTAATAGTATTATTGGGTGATTAACCGATCCTAATTGATCGGGAGTTTTTGCTGTATAAGAGGAGAATAATAATTCTTACTCCTTATTCATACGCTATTTCATTTTGTACGCAATTTCAGGAGAAACTTTCCCATGGCTCATCCATCAGACCAGAGGTTGTGCAGCCAAGGGGCAGTGAGATGCGTGGTGATATTTGTTTGCTTGTTTCTGGTGTTTTATATGGTAAGGCCATCAGTCCTCAGGAGATCCAAATTGAGGTCAAGTGGCGGTTTAGATTCATGCCCCCCTTGTTCCTGCGACTGTGAAGAAGATTCAATGTTGCCCTTGCCTTTAGGTCGGTGCGTCTGTAATCACTTTTCTATCCTTTTTAGTCCTTTGATGTGTGAACTCTAGTCTCAGAAGTGTTGTAACTTTTTTATTCAATTTTTAAAATGCTACTAGTATTTGGGATACATGATACTGATGCATGACAGTGTTTGACTGCCTGCTATTTGGATTAGATTTTTATTGTTTTTCCTCCTCCAAAATCCAAACACAATGAATGGCTGTGTGTTTGGATTAAGGAGGAATGTTATAGTAAAGAACATAAGTTTGCTAAAACAGAGAAAAGAAAGGAATTATATAGTATTATCACCATCATCCCACTGTGTTTGGGTCTTTGGGACATGAGAAGGTAACAATGTAACATGCTTATTTAGGAAAGTGAATAATATGGTTGATATTGTATTTGTATGTTTTGAATGAATTTGAATCGCACAAGTATTATCATTACCAAATATGATACGGCAAGCATTGTGGGATGGATAGAATGGGAAAGATTGGGCAAAAGTAGTCGGAAGAGGGAATACATTTTTCTCTTCTTTTGCATTAACAGTGGAAACGGGTGGGAAATAATAAAAAAAATCATTTTTTTTATTAAATTCATTCCTGTCTTTCCTCTTATGTGATCATTTGGAGTGATGAGTTTTGAGAGGAATTAGAAGCTCGATGCTTGAAGACTTCATTCCTCTCAATCGAACAAACACACTTATATGTTTCCCTTGTTTGCAATTTTTCATTTACCATTTTGGTTTTGAGATGTGTTGTGAGCTTACCCATCATAGTTCAGAAGTGTATTCCACTACAGTGCTTTCGTTGAACTGCTAGAACCCATGCACATTAAACTTCCCCTCATTTACTCTCGGAAATAAAGACAATAATTATGTTCCCTATTACCACTCCCTCCCCTCAATTGAAAGACACAGTTAGGGAGTTAGTATATTTCACACATTAAACTTCCCTGCATAGCCAAAATGATCATGTTTGTTAATTTATACAAAGTATGTTTTGGATAACTGTGTTTTTTAGGAAAGTTGCCGTGCTTATTAAGTTATTTTTATGTGCCCTTGATCAATCTGTCCATCTGATTATTTACTTGTTTTTGTTGTTTTGATTATTCTCGCGTTTTGCATCCACATTTCTATTGCTAACAATACCTTTTTATGTGTTTTATTTTACAGATTTTCTGAATGGTTCAATTGCAGGTTGGTGCATATGCTTTCTTACTCTTAAAATCAGCATTGAATTGCTTATGGAAACTTTTACTTCCTCCATTCCAAAATGAACTTCACTTTTGCTCTTAGTCAACTCAATTTCATTTTTTTCACTTGAGTGCAGATTTGTTATCATTTTAAATTTGGTTCTTGCTATTCAGTGGAACTTTTAGTCTACATTGTAAATATATAAATTTTAATCACTAACATCTACTTAAAAATCATCCTAGAAGAGTTAACTATATACATTTATTCTTAGTCAACCTCGTTTACTGTTCTCTGCACATCACTTTGGGATGGAAGGAATAGGGAGAATGTTATTGGGGCTGTTTGTTTTTTGGCGTTTTCTGGCCAAAATGCTGGAAATACCAGCGTTCACTTTGTTAAAAAAAAATGGCATTTCGCCCAACACGCCAGTATCCAAACACAGCCATTATGTATCTTTGTACACCGTCAATTTCACTTTCCTTCCTGAAAAGTGGATCCGACATAGAATCAACAATTTTGGCTTATACATACGAAACTGATATTGATGGTGTGTACGAAGTAATCGGGAAAGCAAAGTGATTATTTGCTTCCAGCAAGGATAAAGACCATTATTACAATATGATTTTTCTTTGTGTGCAGATTGTGCTAAAGACAATCCTGAAATGAATGAGGAAATGAAAAAGGATATCATCACCCTACTATCAGAAGAGATTAACTTGTTGAAGAATGTGACGAGTGACAGCTTGGAACACACAAACACGCTAATTACAGGTGCCAAAAGAGCATCTTCTCACTACCAAAGAGAAGCCGAGAAATGCAATGCAGGGATGGAAACGTGTGAAGAAGCTAGAGAAAGGGCCCAAGCGGCTCTAATAGAAGAGCGCAAGCTCTCTGAACTGTGGGAGACTCGAGCCAGGGAATTCGGATGGAAGGATGAGTGAAGTGCCTTGCTGCTATTCATGGAATTTTAGCCTTTTTGAAAATTTTCCCTTTTAGTTTAGAATTTTACTTGCACGTGAACCAGTAGCAGTAACCCATTTTTGTGAATATACGTTGTTGAGTTTTTTTTAGGTCAGGCTTCAAATCAATTTTATTTTAACATCGTTTGATTGTTCCATTAAAATAGGAATTAATTCTGTAGGGGGTTTCCCTGTGGTCGAGAATTCTATTATATTATTATACATTACCAGTGGGATATGATATCTCAGTATTGTGAGATGATATGTATGATATCCAATAACGTTTAAAGTAATCCAGTTCACTTCTGCTATCATCTATATATTCCAGTTCCCTTATTTTTGGTAGAATCATTGTTTTTGGTGTTCCACACTTCCACGTTATTAGATTCATTCATTTTATATTTAGTCAAAGTGAGATTAGCTCTTCAACAAACTATTATTCAATGTATGTTTTGAAACTAACCAACCAAATGTAAGCAGTGAAAAGAGAACATAGGTGCAAGGGGATTCAAAACCCAATGTATTTATTCTGTTGAGCCAAACAGTGATAGACCCGAGTCCATAGAGGTGCCACACTTCATATACCAGAGGGTATAAAATATATCAAACCAAATATATACCGTCTAAAACCGCGAAGCCTGAAGCAACCCCACCCTCGTTTGAAGAAGAGACCTTTGTTCTCATCAGGTAACCAGATTGCTCATTTATTATTACCTTTGTTTTATTCCTGCACAATTATTTCAGAGGTAATTATGGGACCCAAAGTACTGCAACTGGAAAATATGAACAATATACTGTGTGGGCATGTCTGTTTGGTATCTCATATTTTCTGCTATTCACTGTTAATTGTATTGATTTAAGAGCTGGGGAGCTTCAGGAGAAATTAGAGACCTACTATCTATTATATATATACCTTAAATAAGCACCATATATCCCAAGTTCGGATACACTTGCTCTTTGTGAGGGATACCATCTCGCATTAGGATTGCTTTAGACAAAGTAGGAAAAATTCTTGCATGAGGATGTAAGCTGCCTCATTTCCACTCCCTTCCTTCTGCAACTTCTGAAGACTTTCTTTTACATCATCACCATAAATATTGTTTCCTGAAGGTGATAGATACACATATAGCATATGGAGTGTCAGCAAGATGCATGTACTACTAGTACTAGTAGTAGTAATAATTGAAGTATAATAACAACCTCCGCCTTCTCGTTGAGGCTTCATAACATATAATTCAGGCCTTTGAATCGCATCCTTTATCACATCAAACTCATCAAGGCTCCACAAGCCTGCAAAGCATTTTCGCAATTTGGAAATGTCGTCTTCACTGTCAAGAAACCTGCTCCAAAACCCAAGGAGAAAGTGAAGGGGGAGTCAATTTAGAATAGTATTTTCAAACCGAATGAGTGAATGTTATTGACTACGGCCTTTCAAATTTAGTTGCACTTAGAGGGTTTTCACGGAATCTATGAGCAAAATTTTAGGACTAGTTAAAAGTGTAGAAATAGTATTAAATAGAAGATAAAAGGCAAGGCTACTTCTGTTGGTTTTTATATGATGGTAGTTGCCAAAAATGGAAAGTAAAGCGAGTAATAGTAAACTTCCCTAAAAGGAAAGTGGATCAACTAAAAGTGAACTGGAGGTAGTACTTTGAGACATAATGTGATGCAAATAAATGATTGAGTATATAATAACACCTCTCAAGTACATTAGGCTTTGCGAGCTCCTGTTGAACTTTCTTGGTACCTGCCAAGTGATAAGCTATTGAAGGGCACTTAATCGCACTGGACTGCTCTATAAGATGCCTTGCTCTCCATTCCTACATATGTGAAATATAAACCAAGATTTAACCAAAGATTTGCCAAGTTGGTATACCATGTCAAAACCAAACAAAATGCTCTAAATACAACCTTCATCATAAAATACAATGGTGAATTGATGATTTTAATTAACACAAAATGTAGAACAAGATTCAAATTGAGATGCCATATTGTTTCTCACCATTAACTAAAATTATGGGAGAAGGTACAAATATGTCCCTATATACCACAAAACAAATATACCCATCAACTTTCTTTAGGAACAAATAAACACAAAAGTTATTAAGTTGGAACAAGTATACCCTTGAACTATATATTAGAGAACATATATATACTGTTTAAATCCAATAGTTGAAGGTTATATATATTCTTTTAATACACACACACATATCAAGGGTATATTTGTTTACACTTAACCATTTTTTTTGTTATTTGTTCCAAATGACAATCTCGGTATTTATTTGTTCTATGATTCACAGTATAATTTAAGGGTATATTTGTTCCGCATCTCCTAAAAATTGTCGATAATCTATATTTCATGAACATGAGCAATCATAAGTAAAAAAAATATCATCATTATCATTATCATTACCCCAGTGCCGCAAAGACTCCCACCAACGATGGGGTAAGGGGGGTCGGATGTACGCAGTCTTACCCTTGTACTATAGCATAGAGAGACTGTTTTCGAATCATAAGTAAAAAAAAATCTGAATATAAAATTACATTCGGATGTATTACGTAAATTGCCATAACATTTGGCTCACATAGATAAAGGGCAAAGCACTTACAGACTCTGAGTCATAATCACCCGGAGCATATCCTGCTCTAAAGTAAACAACTGCATTGACTTGACCATCTCTGCGGTTTGAAAGAAGAAAAAAGTGTGCATCGACCATAAAATGGTAACCAAATGGTATAACATTAATGTTGAACTATTGTGAGGTCACATACACGACAAGTGTACCATCTGGTAAAAGCTTTCCTAGTGCATCAATTTCTGCCAGTGTCTTTCGAATAGTTGTCAGTTGATGTGTGTTACTATGCTAAGGAAACATGTATCAATATATTGGAGAGAGAGAATGTATACAATAGAAAACAGTTAAATAATGCATAAAAAGCGATTCACAGCATTCATGAAGAATAGCTTTTACAGAATTTGTTAAGGATAATTTTCTTTCAACACTGAAGAAATCCAATTAATGCTGATCATACATGTTGCGCTCTTCAGTTTGAACCACAAACATAACCACAGCCCTGCACTTTTTATAGTCAGGTTAGCTATACAACGTGAAGTTATTGTGAAATTTTCAAGACATGGACATAATTATCCACCTGGGGTTGTTGTATTCATTCCATGCTTTAGATAGTGCTTCAGCAAATTTAATCACTGCACTGTTTTTAGAGATCCGGTCAGGATCTAATGCAAGATGTTGCCTATTCTGCTGAATTAAACTCCTGCAATTTGAAATTAAAGCACCCATTGCATCTTTTCCCTGAGAAAGTTGACACACCCTTTATCCCATATTCCCATATAAGAGGTTTCCATTTTCTTTTACAATTGTTGGCTCATAATAAAGTTAATTTGCTCTTAATAACATTTAAATTCGTAGTACTCTGTCATAATTAAAATATACTCCATAAATATTTAGCAACTACACTAAGTCACTAAGAGTTCTGTTAAACCGCAAAAACCGAATTCCAATATGGTAAATGTTTGTTATATAAAATCAGATATTAAAAGAAAGTTAATTTGACTGCACATATAGTGTATGAGAACCTTATTCTGAACAGATGGAGTACTAATTAAAGAACCATTTTATAAAGGATCCTCCTCCTAGTAACCCACAAACCTAAAAGGGTTAAACAATCAATCTTTCAACCCTATATGTTTTCAATATAGAAGCTTCAAATAATTTCAAAGAACTTGTTCATTTCCTGATACATTCTACTGCATCAGGTTTTGCTTCAGAAATAGGCGCTTCTTTGCAATCTTCTTCTTTTTTTGGGCAGGTGGAAGGATGTTCGTTTAGGCTGCATCTCTATAAAGTTATAGAAATATCAACTCAAATATAAGTAGAGCTTCACCTGTGAAGCTCACTGACAAGACAACTCAGTCCAGGAAATGATGAAGAAATTGTATTTAGCTCTATTTGCAACAGTAATTTAGTTTGTTCGTCCAGCATATAATCCGAACGATGTAAACCCAAGCGTATTTCCTACATTGATAGTCAAGTCAACTTTTGTATCTTTTCACAATAAAAACATTCTTTCATCAGCAATCAATGTTAGAAATGCTTTCTGACCATTTAAGAAGAGATTCTTAGTTTCAAGTATGCAGCAGTAAGACATAGCACACCGCAGCAATAAGAAAAAAAAAGGAATACAACCAGATCCTCCTAACCTTAATTTCATTTAGGTAATAATGACAAGTGACAAACAGAAGAATGCCATAAGTTGAACACAAACGCTTACATGACTGACAGAGCTATGCTTGTTCAAATTACATCACAACCACAACAGGATGAACACTTGAATACCTCTTTTTTATTCATCTCTAACATTTTGGAATGAATATCTAGGAGTCTGGATGTGAAATCATCAACTTTCTTTGTTCAGTATATCGAACTGTATATCATGGTAGATTGCAAGTCATCAGAAGTAGAAAAAGAACAGATCTTAGCAAAATTTTATTTGTATAATGGACTTCTAGTATACTGTATATATATATTTTTTTTTTTTAAAAAAAAAAAGAAATTTGTGGGGTGGATACATGCCTTCTCTTCCTAGAGGACAGATGAGCAGTGCTTTCTACCATGCATTACACAAAATAGTTACAGCGCAAACATATAATGAGAAAACACATGCAGTGAGGAACTATTAGGGGCTGTTGGATAGAAACAAGTTGATAGAATCATAGAATGCCATGACATATCGATCGTGTAAAACATCATATAATAAGAACACACGTTTGTGTGAACAACCATATTTATACAAGAAAACAAACATAATTAACCTGGAGAGTGATTCCTGCAGAAATTCTCCATCCTGACTCACGCGATCAACAAGTTCATTAAAAATAGGAGCAACTTCACAAGCTTGTTTCCAATGGCTTTCAGGAAATGAAGTGGGTAACAGAGAAAATGGGGCTTGAATGTGGCAAGCTTGGTTACAGCAAATTGCTCTGTTGAATGTGGAATCCCTTATTTCTTCTTGTATTGAAATAGGTGGTCTGCGGTCGCATTCTGCATGTCCCAGAAAGTCGTCTAAAAAATATAATCGAATCGTATGATGGGTCAAAGCCGTGGGAGGCATCTGAGTAAGCCTGTAAAAGTGATGGAATAAGGGGTTGTTTCTCAGTAGAAAGGGGTTTTTACTTCTGGGCATAAGCTCTTTAGACTTCAAAGTTGAATATAAGTTTGGAAATGGAAGTCATTTCAACTGGTGAAGTCTGAGCTCCGAATGCATAGGTTCATCCTACACTAAATGAGGTTTTCCAACAAAATTAGAAATAATACCCAAAAATTTTAATAGGCTGGTTGTTTTGGATCCATAGGAATAATGATAGAGCTCCGTTTTTCCTTCGCAATCATCAGGCAACATTCTGAGTTGATATATTCTGTAGAAACCGTGATCGGGCCGAATTCCTTTGCTGCCTAAATTTTGAGTGGTCAGTACTTGTGAATTGGGAGATAAACTGGATGATTGGAGGGACAAGATCAAGATTGAGGTTAATCTTGTGGAGTAAAGATTTTTTTATTTAAAAGATCACAAAATCACTGTTTCGAATTGCGAACTTATAGAGTTTAGAATTAATTGAATCAAACCCTTCCTCTCCAAAAAAAAAAATACTTTGTCTGTATTGTTTGTTTCTTCTTCCAAATGTTTACTATTTTCAATCCTTCAATACATCGCCTACTGATTGTTGAGGTAGAAAGTGTTGTTTTAGTAGTTAACCATGCAGGAACCATCAACAGAATCAACAAGCTGTGGAAAGTCCTGGTGGAAGAATTTAATAATGTTATTGATACAAATGTAAAAGGAGTAGCAAATATGCTGCGTCACTTCATACCAGAACTCCAGAAGCAACAAGGAGGAGTTATTTTTAATTTGTCTTCTGGGTGGACAACAAGGAGGAGTTTTTTTTGGATGAAATGTAAATGTATTGATGGATAGTGTACCCGGGAGGTAGCTTATCCGAGGGGTTATTATGAGAATAACTTAGAGAGAAGTCAGAGCAAGCAAGTAGGAGAGAGAGTCGATTGTATTAAATGAACTCTGCGTGCTTTACAAGGAGAATAAGGGCTGCTATTTATAGCAGCCATAAATGCGATGAGGGTACACATGTCAACAATCTGACGGCCGAGGATCACCTCGATCGGGGTGGCAACGGCAAAGGCATGTGCACCGCATTAAATGCGGTGGTTGGACGTGACGCCGCATTGAATGCGGTGGTTGCATGTCTCCAGAGGAAGCTTTGTGGAGTGTAGATCTCGCGGCCAGTAGCGTATGGCCGAAGGGTGATGGGTAGCCGAAGGCACCATGTGTGTGCCGAAGGCTCCTGGTATCCGAGGGCTACTGTTTTACGTTGTTTTCTCCCAGTAGCTTTGTACGCTCAAATCTGGCTGCCCTGTGTAATTTGGAGCCCTCGACCAAGGAGGCCGAAGGCACCCCTATGTGTGTTGTGGGCTTCCTGACACTTGGGCCGTTGTATTTGGGCCCTGGGTGTGTATTGGGCCCATTGGGCCTGTGTAGGAGAAGTAGGAGTCTGTGCGCCGGGGGTTCCTGGGCCATATACTCCATCATGTATATTAACACACCTTCGCAAAATCAACAAGTACAATGTGTCCCCCCCTCCTATTTCATGAGAAAAGGAGAGAGTGAAGAGAGGCTAAGCATCTAGTCTAAGTCAAAACGGCCAATAAGCAAGAATATGCGGCCGGTAAGTCCAAAAAAGTCAAAGCTATGAATGGCGATGCAAGGGTGCACGTGCACTAATCCCATCTATAGCCTCTGCCGTGGCATCCAAAAAACTGGACTCCACGTCAAAAGTTTATCAAGTCATGTGGGTAGATACTAATGAGTATCTTGTAGACCACATGTTTTATCTTAGCAACAACATCATCTTCAGTCTTCTTGCCTTCATCAAATCTCGTCTCATTCCTAACTTGCCAAATATAATAGGCCGCAGCACAAAAAGCAAGCCTCCCCGCCTTGGCTTTCATCGTTGCTCTTTTGCGCGTCTTGGAAATCCATTTGTTTGCACTAAGGAGTGTAGTCATCTGATGCCCAAAACCGATCCATGCCCTAACCTTTTGCCATACCCTGCACGTAAAAGGGCAAAGAAAGAAAAGGTGTGGAATTGTTTCCAATCCACCCTTGCACAGATCACATCTATTTACGATATGGAGTATATTCTACGGAGTATAATAATTTTGAATCTATAAACTTACGTGTTTGGTAAAATAATTGTCAATTAGGCTGATAAGTTGAGAATGGTGTTGCCAAATGGGATCTATATTTAAATATATTTTATAATAAAATAAAAAAAATATTCTATGAAAAATTAGTTAAAATGATCATCTACAATAATTTTAGATGCCAGAAAATCAAATCTTACTTATTTTGATTAATATAATATTCAATGCGCGAAATTAAAAGTTAGTCTCACTTTCGAGACTGGTAGGTCAAGCCCATTTTTTGGTAGTAGAATATTGTAAAGAAATTTAAAAAGGGGAGAGTCCATTTAAAAGCTAAATAAAAGTGGGAAGTGATGAGGATATGGAGGGGAATAACGGGGACCAATGGGTGAATCAAAATAGATTTGGAATCGCGATTTGTCCATCCCTAGTTGGAATATATGCTTTTTTGTTTCAAATATATTTATGAAAATAACTTCTTAGTTGCTAATATTAGATATTCTTTTTTGTTACTATTTCCGGGAAAAGGGGTCAAATATACCCGTCTACTATTCTGAAAAGATCATCTAGACCCATGTACTAAAAAATCATCAAATGAATCAAATTAAATGACCGGAGAGCTACCGCCTATTGCAAGTTAGTAATAGTGTTCAGTAGTTTTATTCCTTTTCTTTTATTTACTCCTGCCATGATGTCATCAGCTTATTTTTTTAATTTCTTTCGCATTTTTCATTGTTTCTCAATCGTGGTTGTCTTCTAGTCTGGATGACTGCTTTTGTGCTTCATGAAAAAATTGACTAATAAGGGCAATAAAACGAAAGTGAAAACTGGCTGGGATTACCAAACGTGCTTTAAGAGTGGCGCTTAAGAGTTAGATAAAACAAGCCAACATGTATAAAAGATACGGAGTAATTTTTTACTCATATATGTAATTTTAATATAGTACGGACTACGGAGTATTATGTGGTCATGAGAATTGTGATCATTTTTTAGTTTGACATGTTGAGTTTAACTTTAATAAGTTTAATACGTACTACA